CCCTAAAAGCCTCCTCACTAAGGTTTCTGAATGAAGTTCTAATTTTCGTCAGTGTAGAGTACGCTGCTGTCGTTATCCTATTTATATGTGCCTCAGGAGTTAGATTACTCCCTGATACCAGAGTACGAGTTTGTGTACCTGGGCTCCACAATCTCAGACACCCTTTCCCTGGACACTGAGTTCAACAAGCGTATCGGGAAGGCCGCAACAACACTGGCCAGGCTCACAAAGCGCGTTTGGGAAAAATGTCAAACTGACAGTGCACACCAAGGCACAAGTTTACATGGCATGTGTGGTGAGTACACTTCTCTACGGCTCGGAATCCTGGACCCTGCGCTCTTGCCAGGAGAGACGGCTCAATACCTTCCACATGCGCATCCTTGACATCACGTGGAGAGACCACGTCACCAACAACACAGTACTCGAGAGAACAGGAATCTCTTCCATGCTCACTCTCTTGAAGCAGAGACGCATGCGATGGCTGGGACATGTCACATGCATGGAAGATGGCCGCATACCTAAGGACCTCTTGTATGGAGAACTAGAGTCAGGAAAGCGGTCCTGCGGAAGACCCCAGTTGATGGGGTCGATGGCGAACTGAGGAGACAGGCAGAGGATAAAAGACTTCAGAAGAGGTATCGACCACTGACAGACGCACTCGCTTCAGCGTTTATCTGCGCTTGCTGAGGTTGGGACTGACATTCTCGGGATGGACTTCACAGCAAAATCAGACGTTGCATCCAACTAGACACCCAGGGCACAACTCCACAATCCCACGGGATTGACGGATGCCTACTATAATATCCCCCATGTATTGTCATTCATTTACGGGCTATTCGTGCCCGTGCCACCTCTTGGGTGGCTTAATCTTTATCAATCAATCGTCATTCATACATATATCACCTAACCACATCACCATCATTTGGGGGTCTGGTAGCTGAGCGGAGCGCAGAATTTCGAGCTCAGCGCTCGTAATTCTGTGGCCCGAGTTCGATTCCCGGGCCAGGCAGAAACAAATGGGCAAAGCTTTTTTCACCCTGACGCCCCTGTTACCTACCAGTAAATAGGTACCTGGGAGTTAGACAGCTGTTACAGAGCTGCTTCCTTTGTGTGTGTGTTTACTAGTTGTGTGTTTACTAGTTGTGTTTTTGCGGGGGTTGAGCTTTGCTCTTTCGGCCCGCCTCTCAACTGTCAATCAACTGTTTACTAACTACTTTTTTTCCACACCACACACACACACACCCCAGGAAGCAGCCCGTGACAGCTGACTAACTCCCAGGTACCTATTTACTGCTAGGTAACAGGGGCACTTAGGGTGAAAGAAACTTTGCCCATTTGTTTCTGCCTCGTGCGGGAATCGAACCCGCGCCACATAATTACGAGTCCTGCGTGCTATCCACCAGGCTACGAGGCCCCCCCCCCTGTACTCACCTAGTTGTACTCACCTAGTTGTGTTTGCGGGGGTTGAGCTCTGGCTCTTTGGTCCCGCCTCTCAACCGTCAATCAACAGGTGTACAGATTCCTGAGCCTATCGGGCTCTGTCATATCTACACTTGAAACTGTGTATGGAGTCAGCCTCCACCACATCACCCCCAGATGTGTGTGTGTGTGTGTGTGTGTGTGTGTGTGTGTGTGTGTGTGTGTGTGTGTGTGTGTGTGTGTGTGTGTGTGTGTGTGTGTGTGTGTGTGTGATTACCTAAGTGTAGTTACAGGATGAGAGCTACGCTCGTGGTATCCCGTCTTCCCAGCACTCTTTGTCATATAACGCTTTGAAACTACTGACGGTCTTGGCTTCCACCACCTTCTCACCTAGCTTGTTCCAACCGTCTACCACTCTGTTTGCGAAAGTGAATTTTCTTATATTTCTTCGGCATCTGTGTGTGTGTGTGTGTGTGTGTGTGTGTGTGTGTGTGTGTGTGTGTGTGTGTGTGTGTGTGTGTGTGTGTGTGTGTGTGTGTGTGTGTGTGTGTGTGTGTGTGTTTGTGTGTGTGTGTAGAAAAAAATAGTTACAGTTGATTGACGGTTAAGAGGCGGGCCGAAAGATCAGAGCTCAACCCCCGCAAGAACAACTAGGTGAATACCATAAGAGGATAACCAGGTGCTAAGTACAGTAGAATTTGTCTTTGAAAATGTGAGGTGAGACCTTACGAAACGCATCACTAGGCGTCAAACTCAAATAAAATGTAAAAATGAACTTTGGAGAGTTAATTTTTCAACTTATATATATATATATATATATATATATATATATATATATATATATATATATATATATATATATATAAAAATGAACTAAACACAGTTGAGTTCATTTATTATGCACCCCATACCCATCTTGTGGGCGGTAGTGGAAAGGGTTACAGAGGCACATATGGGCTCAGGGACTGAACCCCACAATTCATTTAGGTAAGCAAGTTACAATCTTGATGAGCTAGTTACAAAATTCAGTATAAATCGTCACGTCAACAATGGGTTCGAGATAGACCACACACACACTTCCAGACAAAATGAATTATTGAATTAACTGACCGTCGCTCTACCGTCCAGTCCAAGTGCATGGTTGGTCGTATATGGGAAACAGATAATATGATATAACAAATAATATGATGTAACAGATAATAATGTAACGTGTGGACATATGGCCAGTAATTAACCTGTGTCTGTAGGGCTTGAATTTCGGCCCCGCCTATCAACCATGCAGCTATCAACTGGTGATCAAGTTCACCAACTTGCTGTACACTGTCATATGCACATTTGAAACTGTGCGTAGAATCTGCCTCCACTTCACTTCATAATGTTTTCATTTGTGTACTATGAATTATATTTAATTTAATGCCACTTGGTATTTAATTTACCCGTTTCCCCTTGTTCGTGTGCCACCCATTCTAATTAATAATGTCATCATTTCTCTCGATTCCTCGAAAATTTTGTAATGAGGTAATCATGACTCCACTGTTTTATCTTCCAGTGACGTGATGTTTAATTAATTTTATATTTCCTAATAAATCATACCTCTCAGTTCTGGAACAAGTCTGGTGGTATACATATGGTTGACTTTCCTGTTTCTTTTTTGAGAGGACTCCACAGTCCACACTAGCGCCGCTTATTCCAGATTTGATTTGACTTTCTGTCTCATTAACATTTCCAAAGACAATATTAATTCCGTTTGCAACCTAACAGTTAAATTTAGTTCATTTATTATGCACCCTATACCCATCCTGTGGGCGGTAGTAGAAAGGGTTACTAGGGCAAATAATGAGCTCAGGGACTGACCCCAAAATTTATTTAGCATACAAAGTTAAAATTTTGATGAGCTAGTTAACCTAACATACGCCACTGATATGATATCCATTTGATATATGCTTTGAGAGACAGATTCAATTAATATATCAATCCTCAGATATATTTTATGTGCCTGATTCTTAATGGGTTCACTCCCATTTGTTAACTACAGTCCGGCCTCCCGTTCCCAGCACTACTTTCCACAGTTTACCGGAGCTAAACTACACATACATACATACATACATACACACATACATACATACATACATACATACATACATACATGCATACATACATACATACATACATACATACATACATACATACATACATACATACATGCATACATACATACATACATACATACATGCATACATACATACATACATACATACATACATACATACATACATACATACATACATACATACATACATAATTCCTGTATAATTCCTATATAATTCACACTTAATTTCTGTATAATTCACACTTAATTTCTGTATAATTCACACTTAATTTCTGTATAATTCATACATAATTCCTGTATAATTCATACATAATTCCTGTATAATTCACATTTAATTTCTGTATAATTCATACATAATTCCTGTATAATTCATACATAATTCCTGTATAATTCATACATAATTTCTGCATAATTCATACATAATTCCTGTATAATTCATACATAATTCTTGCATAATTCATACACAATTCTTGCATAATTCATACATAATTCTTGTATAATTCATACATAATTCTTGCATAATTCATACACAATTCTTGCATAATTCATACATAATTCTTGCATAATTCATACACAATTCTTGTATAATTCATACATAATTCTTGCATAATTCATACATAATTCCTGTATAATTCATACATAATTCCTGTATAATTCATACATAATTCTTGTATAATTCATACATAATTTCTGTATAATTCATACATAATTCCTATATAATTCATACATAATTCCTGTATAATTCATACATAATTCCTGTATAATTCATACTTAATTTCTTTATAATTCATACATAATTCCTGTATAATTTATACATAATTCCTGTATAATTTATACATAAGTTCTGAATAATTCATACATAATTCCTGTATAATTCATACTTAATTTCTGCATAATTCATATAATAATTCCTGTATAATTCATACATAATTTCTGTTTAATTCATACATTATTTCTGCATAATTCATACATAATTCCTGTATAATTCGTACATAATTCTTGTATAATTGATACATAATTCCTGTATAATTCATACATAATTCCTGTATAATTCCTAATTCCTAATTAATTTCTGTGTAATTCATACATAATTCCATAATTCCTACACAATTTCTGCATAATTCATACATAAATTCTGTATAATTCATACATAATTCCTGTATAATTCATACATAATTCCTGTATAATTCATACATGCATAGCAGCCGCGTGCTGTACTATTACTGGTGTTTCGGTTCATCTTGTGATTGTAAATGGTGTTAGTGTAACTAGAGTATTTATTCTCCTATCATTATGTAAAGGTATATGTAACAATATTTGGGATGGCAGGTGGGCCAGCTTGCACCGGTCGGGTTAACAGACCATTAATGAGGCCAACAAGACAACAGCACCTAACGAGCGTGGTGCTGCTCCTCACACGCACACAAGAGACTATAGGGAGGCATCCTGAGGGAGGGAGAGAGAGAGAGGAGTGTGTGAACCAGGTGGGGGGTGTAGGCTGCAGTGCCCCGTACAGCAGCGGGGGTGGCCGTGGCCCTGAGCTACATCCACCCCATCAGCGCCTCCCTCACCCCGTACAACAGGTTGCTCTACCCTCCACCACCACCCCCCATCCCACTTCACTCCTCTCCTCGCGTCTCCCTCCCCCGTCTCTCTCAACGACACCTCGAGTGCTCATATGCCCGAAGAAAGGCTTTAAATATCTTATTGTTTGAGGTAAATAGGAGTGTGTTGTTTGTGCTTGTTGTAATATTGGTGCTTGCCAGGAGCGTTGGCACCCGCGCGGCCGCCACCGGTCGGCCAATCACCGACGCGCCTCACAAACCTGTTCCTCGCACTAAATTCCGGATAAAATAGCCGATTGTATTAATAGCTGTTCACAGCTTTAGTTCCACGCTCGGAAAAGTTGCTGCGGTACACGAAATCAATACTAAGTGTAAAATCGAAGCTGTGTTAGTTTCCGGGCGAGATATGTGATGGACGAGACTAACAATAAATGGGAACAAGCAACTGTGACGAGCTTCACTAACCAGACAAGGTGAGTGAGCCCAGTTTTTGCACATTATTTCCATGTTTATTTCGCAACCTAGTAAGGTTGGATGTCTATGCAGTGCAAATGTAGGCCGTGTGCGTGGAGTGCAAGTGCAGTGTGTAGTGAGGGAGTGTGGAGTGTGGGTAGAAAGGAGTGAGAGAAGCACTTTAGAGTGAAGCATAAACCGGGTGTTTTGGTTGGCCAGCAGCAACAGGTTCTGCCTCGCACCTTCTCCTCGCCTCCTCCTCTCTCAAGGTAATTCCCACCACAACCTTTGTCCCTGGTGGGACCATTTGTACCTTAGTTGGCTGTGTTAGTGGCAGTGTCCCTCGGTGAGGCTCCGTGCAGTGTGTAACTGTGTGTGTACTACGGTGTAGTAGTGGTGTGGGGGAGGGTAGGTGTACACTGGTGTACTGTGTGTACTACGGTGTAGTAGTGGTGTGGGGGAGGGTTGGTATACACTGGTGTACTGTGTGTACTACGGTGTAGTAGTGGTGTGGGGGAGGGTAGGTGTACACTGGTGTACTGTGTGTACTACGGTGTAGTAGTGGTGTGGGGGAAGGTTGGTGTACTGTGTGTACTACGGTGTAGTAGTGGTGTGGGGGAGGGTAGGTGTACACTGGTGTACTGTGTGTACTACGGTGTAGTAGTGGTGTGGGGGAGGGTTGGTATACACTGGTGTACTGTGTGTACTACGGTGTAGTAGTGGTGTGGGGGAAGGTTGGTGTACTGTGTGTACTACGGTGTAGTAGTGGTGTGGGGGAAGGTTGGTGTACTGTGTGTACTACGGTGTAGTAGTGGTGTGGGGGAGGGTTGGTATACACTGGTGTACTGTGTGTACTACGGTGTAGTAGTGGTGTCGGGGAGGGTTGGTGTACTGTGTGTACTACGGTGTAGTAGTGGTGTGGGGGAGGGTTGGTGTACTGTGTGTACTACGGTGTAGTGGTGGTGTGGTGGAGGGTTGGTGTACTGTGTGTACTACGGTGTAGTAGTGGTGTGGGGGAGGGTTGGTGTACTGTGTGTACTACGGTGTAGTGGTGGTGTGGTGGAGGGTTGGTGTACTGTGTGTACTATGGTGTAGTAGTGGTGTGGGGGAGGGTTGGTGTACACTGGTGTACTGTGTGTACTATGGTGTAGTAGTGGTGTGTGGGGGAGGGTTGGTGTACACTGGTGTACTGTGTGTACTACGGTGTAGTAGTGGTATGGGGAGGGTTGGTGTACACTGGTGTACTGTAAGGCTGGCCTAATGTCCTCTCGCCCACTAAACCCACAGTATTTTCGTGTAGTGATCCGGGTTAATACCATCATGTACTCCCAATTTATTTAGTTTTTGTAATGTGTATTCCATATACTGTACAAGGAAAGTGATAATATATATACATGTTACCAACTAAAGACAAAGTGAACTTGAAATCTTCCTGTCTGTGCAAACTCAACAAGTGTGTGTATAACTTTGGAAAGTCCCTCGTACAATGGAATACATTACAATATATTTTCGTGATCAAATTAAATCTGATACGAGGACGAGGTGTTCCATTGCAAGCTGAAGCCTTCCATCAAGCCATGCTTCTCTCTACCAGTTAACGTTAGTTGTTTAACTTTAGGTTAGCTCAGGTTAGAAATATGGTAGTGGTGGTGTGATATTATGAAGCAAATTTGTTAGTAACTCGAGCTCACAGTAACTTCGATAAAGTGCATTCTTTACATTATTTGTCTACGGAATAATGGCACGTATATCTTTACGGAGTCGGTTGGCCGAGCGGACAGCACACTGGACTTGTGATCCTGTGGTCCCGGGTTCGATCCTGGGCGCCGGCGAGAAACAATGGGCAGAGTTTCTTTCGCCCTATGCCCCTGTTACCTAGCAGTAAAATAGGTACCTGGGTGTTAGTTAGCTGTCACGGGCTGCTTCCTGGGGCTGGAGGCCTGGTCGTGGACCGGGCCGCGGGGGACACTAAAGCCCCGAAATCATCTCAAGATAACCAGGTCGAACTACTGACCTCACGACAGTTGACCAATTTCTGGGAATATATTTACTGCTAGGTGAACAGAGGCATTAGGTGGTAAGAAACATGCTCAACCATATCTGTTCTGCCCGAGAGTAGAACACCATTACTATTTTAGAGGAGGCCTGGTCGACGACCGGGCTGCGGGGACGCTAAGCCCCGGAAGCACCTCAAGGTAACCTCAAGGTAAGGTAGCAATATAAAAGCTTTGTTTTACTACTGCAATTAGAGTACCAAACAAATGTCTTACATTTTTGGAACATGCGGTACTCTCCATCAGATTAGGTTTGGAGAATTTCGAGCAGCTGACTCGCCATAGCTCTATTTCTTTCCTTCACAACATAAAACAAGATTTCCTTTATTTTAAATAACAAGTGCCAGAAAAATTTATCTTGTAGGAATACCACTTTGGTATTGGTATAATCAACCTTAGAATATATATTCTGAATATATGTTACATTTGGTTAGCTTTACTGAGGAAGTACTGACCGTGAGCCCTACAATATTAACACGACAACGTAGACAACTAGTGGCTGAGGAAATTGTTTGGCAGTACACATTTTGCTCTATTATATTTGTAGAGGGTACAAGAAAGAAGGCAACAACCAAACTTAAACTTTCTTAGGCCCAGACAGGCACGTATTAGGCCTAGGATTGCTTATTTAGGCCTAGGATAGGTTAGGTTGTATACTTACTTTTTCTGGTTTTGTCATGCCATTTTGAGTATTGCAGTTGTACAAAATGTGAACTTTTTGGGTACAACAGTCAAATGTTGTACAATCAACAAAAAGTTGCTAGAAGTACTTCAGTATTATGTGTGGAGGATGGGTTGGTGAAAGCTAGCTAGAAGCAATTACTGTACTGTAATTTTGTTTAATTTGGTTACACAATGAATGACTTTATTACTAACCTCTTTCTAACCTTTGGATTAATTAACCTGATCTTAATTAACCAAATATAATTTAATGTGTTAAAAGTGTGGCCAACTGTAATGATGAATTTGGAATTGAAGACAAAATTTTAAAATTAATTGTGATGTCTGTTTTTGAGTTTGTTGATTAGTTTTATTAAAGTACTTTGTTTTTCCCCAGTTACACCACTTAATAGTGCTTAATCAATATATTACTTAATACAACTGCAGGATATAAAATATTTAGAAAAATACATTGGGAGAAAAAACGTCCACAGCTGGGGACAGCAAGGAATGGATGATGAAAATTATCTTGGGTTTGATTCCCAAATGGGATAGAAATGGTTGGGCATGTTCCCTATTACCAAATGCCTCTATTCACTTACCAGTAAATAGGTACCCAGGAGTTAGGCAACTGTTGTGGGGTTTCATTCTACCCAAGAGACATCACTCGGCACTACCTGAACTGTCTTCAAGACCTGAAACATAAAATTCATATGAACCCTATCAAAAGCTTTTAACCAATCCAAATAGATCATAGACAATTGCACATCATTCTCCAAGAAATAGTATACCTCATCCCACACCAAATTATTACAGCTAATGATAGATCTTCCAGGAACACAAAACTGCATAGTAGAACGAACTTCCCTATTCCCCCAATAACTTGGAAAGAATGAGGAGCTTGGTCCTGGTTCAACAGAGAACTTGGTCTCCAATTCAACAACATTTGCACAGCCCCTGATTTCAGGAGAAGCATGTTGATACCTAATGACTGTGATGCTCTTAATACTGCAGACTATTCTTCAGACTATTCCACTATACCACAGAATTTGCAAAAAAAAAAAAAAAAAAAAATCCTTTCCAATCCCATCACAATGGTTGTACTCTTCAAGTCACTTGTGTTGTCCTGTCTTGAGTACTGCTCAGTACTCACTTTCCCCTTCAGAGCAGGAGAGATTGCTAAAATATAGGGAATACAGAGAACATATATTGCACGCATAGACGTGATAAAACACCTAAATTAGTGGGATCGTCTCAAAGCCCTACAAATGTACTCTCTAGAAAGAAGACGAGAGAAATATCAAATAATATACACATGGAAGATACTGGAGGGCCAAGTACCAAATCTACACAGTAAAATAACAACGTATTGGAGTGAATGATATGGAAGAAAATGCAGAATAGAACCAGTGAAGAGTAGGGGTGCCATAGGCACAATCAGAGAATACTGTATAAACATCAGAGGTCCACGGTTGTTCAACACCCTCCCAGCGAGCATAAGAAATATTGCCGGAACAACCGTGGACATCTTCAAGAGGAAACTAGATTGTTTCCTTCAAGGAGTGCCAGACCAACTGGGCTGTGGTGGGTATGTGGGCCTGCGGGCCACTTCAAGCAACAGCCTAGTAGACCAAACTCTCACAAGTCAAGCCTGGCCTTGGGCCGGGCTTGGAGAGTAGAACTCACAGAACCCCATCAACCAGGTATCAATCAGGTACCACCTACAACCCATCAGACCCAGGCTGTCTTTTTGGATGCTAAACCTCAAACCATCTCTCAAATCTACTGATAAGCTTATTTTCCTCATCTTTCCTCAAGCAAAAGTCAAGTAAATGCTCATCAGCGAAGTCACACTCCACCCTTCGATTCAAATCCTCTAACTCGCCCCAATCATGACACAACAACCCATCCATATTTGATATAACTGTACCATCAACCTAATGAATACCCAACAAATATGCCAATACTGTACTTTCTTACCATAAACTATCAGCCATCAGAAGGCACATATTTATGCCATCAGCAATCTCCACCCACAACCTATTCATGCTCTCCTTCAGCAATGCTGTTTCAGCAGACTTATCCATGCCCTTAATCCATGAACTCATAAAGCTGATGCAATCAAGATTGCAACAAGTTTAAAAGCTCATAATGTTCTCCCATTCGATGCTTTGGTAGGCGAACAAACAATCGTTTTCATTCCACTTTGCATCAATCCCACCAGTCCAACATACAGTACAGTATACTGAAAGCCTGCCTTTTTCCTCACCAAGTCCTCACAACACACCAAAATTCTTCAAAACGAC